TTACCATTTAGTCGCAGGGACTGGTCGCACAAACAGTTCACACGAAGGGACAGACATTTGTTTCATGCGACAAGTCCCTGCGACTGGTCGCACGAATTCAAACCAGTTTGAATTCGTGCCACCAGTCGCAGGGACCAAATTTTGGTCCCTGCGACCACAGAAATGTGTAGTTCACACGAAGGGACTAGTTGCATGAACCCGGTCGCTGGGACTAGTCGCAGGGACTAGTCCCCTCATGTGTGCCGACCTTTATAAATCGTAAGAACAAACTTTGTGGAATGATTAAATTAAAAGTATAAATGATTAAACTAAGGTTGATACATATATGTAGCTACTGTTTTAAGAATCCTTTTGTGACATATAAATTGTAAGAACAAAGTTTGTGGAATAATCAATTTGAAAAATATATGGACTGGATATGTGAAGTTTCTTGAGAACCATTTTAAGGAGGCATATGCTAGGAGGAAATGGCTCCTTGGAGGAATAATATTTTTGTGTGTGTCATCTTTAGGGTTTTCTCTTCTTATGAGTTTGGAATGGAAGTCTAATGTGTAACTTTGTGAAATTACTGATAAATAAAACAAAATGATTTAATGAGTGGAGATGGCTATTCCTTGGTATGAAAGTATAAACCGTTCCCCATATGCTCATTGTTGTATGAAAGCGTCAAAGTGGTTTTTTGCCTTTCTTTGTATGATGCAGGTGGCTCTGGAATATTCAAGGAAGTATGGTGTCCACCAAATGCGTGTTTTGACACTGGAGAAGAACAGGGGCAAAGGGGGAGCAGTTAGACTGGTAAGTTGTTTTAAAGAATGATCAAAGATGAGTTTCTCATTACAGTTTCAACCCATTTCTAAGCAAAAGGGTGGTGGGAAGGAAGAACACCATCAACCAGGGGATATGGTCTGATTTGAAACCAAGAAATGTAAAGGAAACTGTGTGGCCAATTTTTATTTAGATCTTATATTTCACTTTTTAGTTAACATTGGGCTTTAATATCATTCAACATTTTTCATTGCGTCAAGGGTATGTTCAGCTCCAGAGGTAGACAGCTTCTCATGGCTGATGCAGATGGTGCAAGTAAATTTGCTGACCTGCCAAAATTAGAGAAAGCATTAGATGAGCTGAATGGAATGAAGGTCAGTTCAGTTTTTTTTTTTTTGGAAAATTGTGTTAAAATGACAGTGGCAAGGAGTGTTGTGGGATGCTTATGACACACTTAGGAGGATGGTAGGTGGGTTTTCTACTGTCTTGAGACCCCCTTTTAGGGGGTTCTTTGTCAAGAACATACAAAAATTATAATGCAGGTGGTGAAATTGTGCAAAATCAGAAGAATCTACATGGCAAAAATACTTTCCAATGCTAACTGTTGTATTTTCT